TTGTAATGTATTTCTTGCGTTTCTCCCTCATCCCTATTTGGACTGCTGCTTCTTCCCATTTTAGCCAGTAGTCATCATCCCCACTTCCCCTCATCCTCCTGCCCCTCTGGGCCTCGCCCTCCTTACCTCCTTTCGGACGTATCACAGGTTCTGCCTTATGACCTTTGGTACCGCTCCGCTTCTGACATCCCTTTGTTCCCGTTCGGACGCCTCCATTCCGATTCAGTTCCCCTTCGCTTCCTTGTGCTTTTGCCCCCTCCATTATATATATCGGCACTTGTACATACTCATAGCGGGCTCAGTCCGAAATCGACCTGAAATGCCCCTAGAGACTTCCTGCTTGCCTACTGTGAAATTAAGGACCAAATGGACAAACAGCAATGGCACAGCGCTCCGCTTGAGTCGCTGAGGCCAAGGTCCCTCCACGCTAAGTCTCCGATTCCACTCCGGAGTCGTCTGAATCCGCCCATCTCTAACACTGAGGAGAAGGTCAATATCTACACAGACCACCGCAACCTAGGCTACTTCCACACTGCACAGAGGCTGAATCGCCGCCAAGCATGGTGGTCACTATTTCTGTCCCGCTTTCACTTCACCCTCATCCACTGACCAGGGAAACTCATGGGGAAACCGGATGCCCTCTCCCACCGTGCCGACCACCTGAAAGGAAGGGATGACAATGACAGCCTGACCCTCCTACAGCCAGAATGGTTTGAAGCCCGCATGACCGAGGCCATCACAGTGGAGGGAGAAGAGGCGGCCATCCTGGAAAGAATACGCATGGCGAGAGACCGTGATGAGAAGGTAGTGAAAGCGCTGAAGGAGCTGGGAGATGGAACCCTCAGGACGGATGAATGGAGCAGAGATGGAGAGTTGGTCCTCTACCGGGGAAAGGTATACATCCCGAAGGACCTGCAACTCTGCCACGACCTAGTGCGGCTACACCACGATGCGCAGGCGACAGGACACCTGGGGCGATGGAAAACCCTGGAGCTCGTCTCCTGCAATTACTGGTGGCCCTGGATGGCGGAGTATGTAGGCCACTACATGGTGGGGTGCAACACCTGCAATCGAGTCAAGTCATTCCCCTCACGGAAGGTGGGGAAGCTCAAGCCAAACCAGATCCCCACCTGGTGCTGGCAGGTAATCTCTGTGGATATGATCGGAGCGCTCCCTGAGTCAAAGGGCTACAATGCCACCCTAGTGGTGGTGGACTGCCTCTCTAAGCACATCCATGCAATCCCTACAGTCACGGCGGTAGACTCGGCTGGGATCGCCCAACTCTTCCTCAAACATGTCTGGAAGCATCACAGGCTCCCCAAGGAGATTCTCAGCAACAGAGGGAGTGCCTTTGTCTCTCAGTTCTCCAAAGAGCTAGCGGCCCTACTAGCAGTCAAGCTGACCCCTTCAGCACCTTACCACCTGCAGACAGACAGACAGATGGAGCGAGTGAATCAGGAGATAGAAGCCTACCTCTGAGTGTTTGTTAACCACCACCAGGATGACTGGGCAGACTGGCTCCCGCTAGCGGAGTTCTCCCATAATAACCGCATCCATGCCTCGACCCGCTGCACCCCCTTTGAGCTTGACACAGGCCAACACCCCAGGATGGGGACAGAACCCACACGTGCATCAGAAGTCGAAGCCGCAGATGTGTTCACCTCGAGACTGATGAAAATGCAGGAAGAGGCGAAGGCGGCGCTAGAGCATGCAGCGGAAGAGATGGCCTGCTACTATGACCGAAACCAAGAAGTAGCACCTGAGTACAAAGAAGGCGATCAAGTCTGGCTCAGCACCCAAAACTACACCATGGACCGCCCTACCAAGAAGCTAGACCACAAATGGACCGGCCCCTTCAAAATCCTCAAGGTCGTATCCCCTGCCACCATCAAACTCCAGCTCACAGCACGACAAAGGGGAGTCCACCCAGTGGTATCAGTGACGAACATCCGGCCCTACTGCCCAGATGGGATCGCTGAATGACCCACCGACCCCTGCCCAGGCCCCCAAATCATAGACGGAGGAGAAGAGTACGAGGTCGAGAAGGTCCTGTCAGGGACCAACCCGGGGTCGAGAGCATCCGGGTATATTGCCCGGGGCTGAGGGCCCGGTAGGGTGTGATGCAGGTGTGCATAACAACGGGCCCAAAGCAGACAAGGGTCCCTGGCCACTTAGGCTAAAGTGGGAAGTGTGTTATTATTATTAACAAGGGGAATGTAAGCTACTTGCCTAAAGTGGGAAGTGTGAGAAGAAGGTTGCTTCTCAGTTCCCACTTAGGCTGTGTTTATATACATGTAGTTAAGGCCATGTCATCTATGCACACAGCCACGTCCATCTGGGTATCTCCGCAAGAGATCCCAGGAGCGCCCAGTGTGCAGGAGGCTGCCCAGCGGGTCCGGGCGTGTCATACTGCAGCTGGGCCAATGGTACACTGATAGGAGGGAAGTCATCCATGTAATAAGTAAGGAAAGAGAGAAAAGAGAAAGGTGTCAGGGAACACCCGCCTGACCCGGTTCCACCCGGGCCCAACCGGGCCCACCTCACCCACTCCCTGCTACCCATCCTTCCTCCTTCCTCCTTCCTCCTTCCTCCTTCCTCCTTCCTCCTTCCTCCCTCTTCCCCTTCCTCCCTTTCCTCCCTTTTCCCTCTTTCCTCTTTCTCCTTTATTTCATTCTCCCCTTCTGTTTATTCTTTCTATTTACACGGACCACCTTCCCTTGTATCATTGTACTGTTGACCCATCCGGCTCGGACACCCTGGACGACTTCCCACTACACCTAGCACGCACGCCTGCAGTGGATGCCCTCAGGATCCCCCGCGGGGATACCTGGATGGCTGTGGCTCTCTCCGTAGATGATGTGGCACCCGTCATGTGACCCAAGCCGCATGTACATAAATGTACCTGAAGTGGGAACTGAAGAAGTAACCTTCTTCTCACATTTTCCACTTCAGGTAAGTAGTGTAGTTCTTCCTTTTAATAACAATTCACGTTTTCCACTTCAGTCTAAGTGGCCAGGGACTACAGTCCCAGATCGGGCCCGTCAGTATGCACACCCGCTTCGCTCCCCAAGAGGGTCCCTCTGCCGGGCACTACATCCGGGCCCCCTCCACCCCAGACATGTCCCTGACAAAAGGAGAAAGAAAGGGAGGAAGAGAAAAGGGAGGAGGAAGTAGGGAAGGAGTGGGTAGCGGGGGGCCGGGTCAGGTGGGTGACAGGGGACCGGGTCAGCTGGGGCCAGGTCAGGCAGGTGTGCCCTGACAGGTCCTCAACTCCTGCTGGCGCTGCAGAAAGCTCTGGTATCTGGTGAAGTTCACAGGCTGGCCAAACTCCGAAAACAAGTGGCTCCCCTGCGACAACCTGGCCAACATGCACGACCGGATCGAGGAGTTCCACAGAGCACACCCAGATGCCCCAGGCAGAGAGCGAGAAAACCCCCTAGCCACTTCGAGGTGAAGCAGCTTAAGGAGGGGGTGATGTCAGGGCATGCCGCCCCGCTCCGCGCTGCGCCCTCCCGTTGCCCCTCTTTCCTCCTCCCTCTTTCACTTTGTCCTTTGTCTTCCTTCTTCCCCTCTCTTCTTTCCTTTCTTTCTTTATATGGACGACCTCTCCCCTTACCCATGTAGCACAGACGTGTCTGACACCGAGTACTCTGTGTGGGTACTGTGCTGCCAGATATGCCGTGCATCCTCATTTGTACTTCTCCCCTCTGACACTCGGGATCGCCTGCGGAGCCATCTGCGATACCCTGGCTCCACCTGGGCTGACATGGCACCCCCCACATGACCTGTTCCTGCCTGTATATAAACCGAGCCGAAGCAGAACCAAAGAAGCAGCCTTCTTCTCACTACTGCTTCAGGCAAGTATCTTACTCCAGCTTAGTTTAGTTTAGTTTAGCCTTCCATTCTAATAACAATCACTACTGCTTCAGCCTAAGAAGCCAGACAGGGATGTGAGCCCAAGTGAGGGCCATTCGCTATACATTCCCGTTACTCCACCGCTGCCTGAGCCGCTACCCCTGCCTCTCCTGTACTGTCCCTGACAGCACCGCAGCCCGAAAGGGCAAACCAAAAAAGGCCTAACTGCCTTTGTTTTAAAAACATTAGCATTGTCATGGCCATGTATTCCGGCCCGTTAGCCGCCTGTCCCGATGCCGCCCGAGCCCATTCCCGCTATGCGAGCATGAGTGCGAGCCCCAACCCTCATCCCTATTCTCCTTGAGGACTCCCCGCTCACTCTCCACTTGCCTGTGGTTCCCCAATGCTAGACCGACTCCCCCACTGCCACACCAACCTCCCCACCCTGAGTCTGCCTCCAGCACCGCGCTGAGCACAACTCCTCTACCCTGCCCACTTGGCCCCTACAGGGCCACTACCATTCCCGCACCCAACTCCGGCCCAACTCCGAGTCCAGCGCCGCTATGGCAGCCCTATGCTCCTTCCTTTATTTATCTGTTATTGTTTGTTTTGACCCTCGGTCATTGCCAGCCGCTGTGCGGCCAACCCCGCTCCTTGTTCCCTTTTGCTTCCGGACCCCTCAGCCTTTGGCCCGGGTCTGCTTCCATTCTTTCTTTCTCCCTATATATATCCTGTATGATACTTTATTGTACCTTAGCTCTAATATCGATTTGACCATGACCCTCTAAGTCCTGACCCCAACAAGGCAACCCCAGTCAGTCTGAAATGAGGGCCAAGAGACAGCTAGGGGGCACAGCGCTCCTTTAGAGTCGCTGAGGCCAAATGCCCTACCCTTGGGCCTTGTTTGCAGCATCATGGCCATCACGGCCTATAGCGGCCTGCAATGGCAACCCTTGGTGCCGACCCCGGACCAGTGGCTAACAAGCGTCGACTTCGTCATCGTTAATGATCAAATTTATGGAGGCCTAACCACCCCATTAATTTTTTTTCTCTTCTTTTTCACTGTCCAGAGGCCTGACCGCCTCCACTTATATTCTCCTTTGCCACCACAATAATCGGTACAAAGGGTTTAACTACATGTGGCATTATGTCAGGGCCTGGCCCTCATTCCGTGATGGGCCCAGGGGGATCCTCCTAGTCGCTGGGGTATCTAGTCCCAATCCGAGATCCTCAAACTCACTGAGGGGGCTAGCCCCAGCCTTCACAGGAAAAGAGTTGCTGCGCATTTTGGGAGTTGCTAGTTACACTTGCCTTCACAGGAAATGAGTTGAGAAGAAGGGTAACCTTCTCAACCTCCTGTGACACCGCTACAAATGGGAGCCAGGAACTATACAGTTTTCGGCTCTTTGCCGACTTTCCATAATTGGCACCCCCCCCCCCCTGTGGGAAGATTCTGGGCAAGCAGCTTGCCCAGAAAGTTCCCACGGTTGTGGCTGTGATGGTTTCTGGGCGAGTAACTCGCCCAGAACGTTCCCACAGTCTGCATGCATGCGGGATTGTGGAATAGTGAAGGGAAAAATAGGAGAAAATAGGGGAAGGGTACCTGAGGGTGTGTGGGGTCAGGGGCTGTGCCCTGACACATTATTAGAAGCTCTTTTTTCCCTACCACCTTACTTCACAATGAAAGCCTGACTGCTTTCGTCACAAAAGCCTAATCACTTTGCGTTAATTCTTACCCAAGAGCCTGACCGCTTTGCTTTACTCCCCTTTGAACCCCTTTTGTTCTAACTTCATTGGTGATGACCGACATTGAAAGGCCTAACCACCTTTCACCTTTAACTTACAGTAATGCCACTACTGGTTGCCCCGAGGCCTAATTGCCTTGAATTTCTTTATGTTTCTCTTGAATCTCTTGGACCGTTTTTTACATTTTGGTACACGCCTTCCTGTTGCGATATTAATATCGCAAGGGAGGAGAGCGTAAGGAAGGGAGGCTGCTTATGCACCCCCTCCTAACTCTTTTACTTTGTCTTACTCTTGTTATCACTTGTAACATAGTCTATTATAATCAGTTTGTAACTTCGCGCAACAGCGCTACATTATTGTATATACTCGGAGACCCTGCAAGCCGCATAGGCTGCATGTGCTCTTCCCCCCCATGTATATAAACCTTGCATGCGGGCAAGTCAAGGCTTTACAGCCTTTACTCCCCCGTTGATTATACAGCCTATTATAGCGTATCTCTGACGGACTGGGAGTGTGAGGCAATACTCACAACCACTATCATCTTATCATCTTACAGTGTAGGGGCGTTTGAAATCTTTCTTTGTAAGTCCCAAAAACTCCCCGCTTTCCAAAAAGACCAAACCCCCCGCAAGTGGACGCCCTAGGAGATCATTGATGACAGAACCAGTAACTTAGGCATGAACGTGAGCACGTCAAGTGTGGAACATTCATGTGATGGGGACATAGATGTACGAATCAAGGATGTGATGAAAAAAGGAATCAGCCGAAGGGCGCCAGCCCGCCTGCAACGCAGCTCATCGGTCAAGGAGGAGTGAGATAAATGAGCGTCAGCAATACCGATAATTGATGCACAACGAATAGAGATAGGATAGCGCGCGATGACCATGAAGCGATGGAATCGACATTGGATCAGAAAGGTATGTCTGTGTGTGAATAGGGGATTTAAAAGATGAGGTAAGATACAGGTATGCCGCGTAGGCATATAAAAGGGCAGGTCAGAAGAAGGGGAATGCACAGAGGGAGTAAGTAGCGACATAAGTAGCTGCCTTCAAACATCGATGAGGTAAGCTGGAAGGGCCAATCAGAGCGGTTCGAAACCTGGCTTCGGGGTGAACCGAGCCAATCAGATCTCGTAGATGACCCTCGGCGATTATTTATTAGTTAGATATACTATTAAGGAATCTCTCTTAGCGCGGCGTTCCAAATGGGGCAACCCGCTCCCCAGCAGACGCAAGAGGGAACTGAAAAACATAAGATTTTTGGTCCGTGCGTATTGATACGCATGCAAAGAATGAAAATCTACGTGAGGGAACTCCTAGCTGTGTGCTTAGTCACAATCGGGGACTGCCACATCCAGCACGACGTACGTTCCGGATAAGTAACCCGCATCCCAACAATTCCCGATGAACGCTGAAGCTCGACCAGTGCAATAGAGTAAACAGACTTACTACGGGCTGTTACCCATGCCGGCAAATGATGAGTACCTAACTGAATCGAATACTTAAATCTTAATAACATTACCCACAACCAACCAACCTAAGTAGTAGAATTCAGTCTGCCTTCCGTCAAGGCGCTAAATAAAGTCGAGAAGAGTTGCTTGCATAAAGTGCGTTGTACTAGCAATTTAGAGATAAAGGATTTTTGAACCCAGAAAAAAAAGCTAATGTGCATGAGAATTTTTTGTTTTTGGAAGGCTGGGGCCGGGAAAGATCTCGAGTGGACAGAATCGAGAAAGAAAAGTTCAGACTACTGTCCGTCTAAATCTGTAGTGATACGAGAGATCACAAAGACGAAAATATTATAAACATGCATGAAGCCTAATACTAATATAGTGAACAAAATAAATAAGGTCAACACGAAAGAATTCGATATTATTGTTTCTGTGTATTGGTGTGTGTGTGTGTGCGCGCTATATCGCTCTCCTCCATTAGGATTCCAGCCTTCCCAGTGATGCCTAGTGTCGGTGGTGTGGGTAGTTGGGGCAGGGGGGAGCCAGACGTTTCCAACCGTGCGAATCCACAAGGAGAGAAGGGATATGACAAACGAGGAGAATGGATGAGTGGATGAGAGACGTAGAGGGGGGGAAGCGAGACTTGCAGCAGGAGTGCCAAGACGAAGGATGTGAAGATGTTTACTAACTGATACCGAAATTGAAGAAATGATAAGAAATGAGAGGGAGAAAATAGAAATGCATCCTCTCCATTGAGGGTAAGTGAGCTCTATAAGCGGGGATTCGAAAAAGAAAAGCGGGATACGAAAAGTCGAGTAACGGAAAGATCACGCGCAACTTCGAAAGATGATCGAAACTCAAGACGGATTAAAAAGCGAGAGATGGGAAAAATGAAGAAGAAGCCAGCATGCGAGGACGAGTGACGAGCGTGGGGGGCTTGGGCCTAATCGATCGCAAGCCAAACCAGAATTCACAAGCGAAAAGGGTAGTCTGAGGGAGAGAGAGAGAGAGAGGTTTTTTTCCCCACCCAAAGAGAATCATCCTTCACAATCACTCTGATCCCCTTCAAACCCAAAACACCCAAACGACTCCTAATCATCGTCGCTCCAGACTTGAAAAGTTGGCCTCGACGACCTCTCCATACGAACGGGAACCTCCTTCATCACCGTGTCCCTTCCGACATTCGCCACGGACGATCTGGAGGGACTAACAGTCACCATTCCCAACCCTAACGAAACGCGCCTGGCCCTACCGAACAACACTTCATCATCCTCATCCTCCTCCCCTCCAACGCCAACGTCAACGCCACCACCCCTACGGTCAAGACGACGAAGGCCAAATCTCCCACCAGGAAAACCAGCATCAGCACCAGCACCATCATCATCATCATCGCCGTCTCCGTCATCATCGTCGTCGGCGTCAAACCCACTCCCTTTTCCCGAAACCATGCCACTCGAACCAGAAGGGCTCGAACCAAGGGATGAAGAACAGGAAGAAGGGAAACCCACTGGTCCTGGCAGTCCCAGTGGTCCCCCCTTCAACCGACGACCCCCCGAGAACGACGTTGAAGAGTAGAACATAGTATCCTGTGGTTGCTGCTGCTGTCGGTGGTAGTGCTGGTTTGCAATGGGCGTCAACTTGAAACCAGATTCTTCGTTCGCCGCTCTGGGGTCCATTCCCACTGAAGGCGGCGTTCTGTCTGCCACACGATGATTGGAAAATCCAACATCAAAATGATCCGCATCACCACCACCACCGCCACCAACAACACCGAGGCTAAACGACCTACCACTGACCTCGGATCGAGGAGACGAAGAAAATGTGGACGAGATGGGAGAAGGTAACTGTCTCTGCGGCAGCGTTACCTGTTGCGGTCTCAGCATCATCGCATTCTGGAACGACCGAGCAAAAGAAGGCTTCGACATATCACGACTGAGCGCCACTGGTTCTGGCGCCGCCTTCACGGCGGCCGCAGTCGAAGACCGAAAGGAAGGAAGGAAACTCAGACCACTGACATTGTTCGAAGATGACGAAGGGCTGAGCGATGAGAAGGATGATGCAGGGGAGTGTGAAGAAGCAAACGGTGATGACGATGAGACGGTGCTCGTCGGAATGGTGGTAGTGATAGGCGGAATGACACTGCTGCCACCGGATCTGAAATGAGTACTAGTAGACAAAGGACTGGAACCGGGGAAATAAGATTGAGATGAGGCTGAGAGAGGTAGCAGCGAGACGTTCGTAGCAGCTCCTGAAAGGAAATAGTTGTTGGACTTAGGATTAGGCCCTACTCCGCCATCGGAGATGGTACTGGGCAAGACGGAAGATGCAAGATGCGGACCAGAAGAAGTTCCAGCAACATGCGCCGTAGCAGTGGGAACACCACCAAGAGACGCTTGCGCCCTCGCGGCCTGATAGTATGGAAGCGCCATATTCTCAGGCGGCCCAGTGGCAGCAGGCGCCAGAATGCCCGCAGCTAATTGCTGCATCCTGGGAGGCAAAGGGGCCATTGCCATCGCCGGCCTACCACCACCACCACCGCTAGCAGAAGCCGTGGCGCCAGCAGACGGAACACCAGCAGATCGCCCGCCAGCCAAATCCAACCCAGCAGCCTGAATCTTGGCGGCATGAATCACGCTCGCCAACACTCCAATTTTCTCCATCTGAGCCGCCGTCCCAAGTCCATCCAAATTCCCATCCGCGTCTAAAACAAGTGATTGACAGGCAATGACGTCAGAAAAATTCAAGACACTTCTGTCATCCTTAAATAGGAAAATGGGAGAAAGAACGCGAAAAATGACTCAAAATGAACCAATGTTACGAAAATAATAATAATAATAAGCAAACAAAGATCCAGTCATTTACTCACATGGGAAACACGACTGACAGACTTTCCTCCTTCTCCAATTCGTATACCCACACACCCCACAGAACCAATCACCCGCCTGCGTCTGAACTAAAAACAATCCATCATACCAAACCACCACAAAAAAACAACAAAACAAACTCACTAGGTCCAATATTCCCCGTGTTCATAATAGGCGGATGAGCCCCAAATTCCGGATGCGGACGAACCTGTCCAGGTCTGTAGTCATAATAATAAATAAATAAATAAATAAATAAGAGGAAAAAGAAAAAGAACCACTCACAAAGGAAGAGGCATACCAACAGGCCAACTGACCACCACAGGATTCCCAACCACATACGAAACGTTCATCATCCTCCACCCTTGACTGCCCTGATTCACGATCGATTTCCCATCGGGCGTAAGGACCGTTTGGTGGGTCGTCGTCGTCGGCGGAGCTGGAGTTGGAGCTGGTTGGATTGGCATTCCCGTGGTGGTACTTGTGATGTTGTTGGTGTTGTTGTTGTTGAGGAGGAGGGTGGTAGGGTTGGTGGCGGCAGCGGCGGTGGCGGTGGAAAGAAGGCAAGAAGAGGTAGTAGGCGGGACTCCGTTGTTGACGTTGACGTTGACGTTGACGTTGTTGGCAAAGAGCGAGGAAGAAGGATTTGTTATTGGAGTTGTCGTACCGTGAAGTACGTTCAACAAGTTGTTACGGTTGTTGTTGTTGTTGTTGTTGTTGATAAGGCTCATATTATTCGAGTTTGGCGAGGGTCTTGTCACACTGAGGGGTGAAAACGGATAAGGATAAGGACAAGGATAAGTGGAATGAAGATGCGGTTGAGATTGAGATCGGGGGAAAGGACCGCGATGACTTGGTGGAGGGGAAGGTGGCAATT